TGCAACACACAAGGCAGCGCGCTCCGGGGTGCCCGGCCCGGCCCGGCCCGGCCCTGCTCCCTCCCCAGGCCCAGCACCACCCGACTCCCTTTCCCCTTCGCTCCTCTCTTTTTTTGTTTTTTCGGCCCGGGGACAGGACCGCATGAACCCGCTAGTGGGCCCCAGGCGAACAAACTCGTTGGCCTCCGGCTGGAAAATAAGCACAGCCGAGCCCCTTCCTCACCTAGGGCCCTAGTTTGCCTATGCACTCATCCAGCCCTGCCTCGGGGAGCTCGAGGGCTGCAGACCCCGGCTTACTCTAAAGCAGCGTTTCCCAACCAGTGTGCCACGGCACAAAAGTGTGCGGTCAGAAACGAACAGGCGTGCCGCAGAATTTTGCCAGGGCAATGGGCTACAATAGGTATGAGGATGGGAATGCCTTAGCAGGTGTGCCACGGAAAACTTTTATTAATGTAAGTGTGCCTTGGGCTGGAACAGGTTGGGAAACACTGCTCTAAAGACAAGAGCGAGACAAATCGACAGTGCCCGAGACCCTCCATGCAAGTGAGAGGGGCACAGTGGGAAAACTACTATTCAGACCCAGTTCTGGCTCCACTCTGTGCCCCTGTGCCATGCAGGAGACTGGGCCAGAGGCACGTCTGACCCAGGACATGGCAGCACTTGGGTTCTCCTGATAAGCAGCAATGGGCTCAAGTTGCAGCAAGGGAAGTTTAGACTGGATATTAGGGGAAACTCTCTCACTAAGAGGGTACTCAAGCACTGGAGCAGGTCACCCAGACAGGCTGTGGAGTCTCCATCCTCAGAGGTTGAGAAGACCCGGGTAGACAAAGCCTTGGCTGGGAGGATCTACTTGGGGACAGTCCTGCTCTGAGCAGGGAGTCGGGCTAGACAAGTGCTTCGCAACCTTGTGTGTACCATTTGTGGCCAGTCTCAACCCAGTGCCCCTCGCTCCTGACTCACTGTCCTCAGGCACCAGCCCTCCAGTGTGGGGAAGAGGGGGAAGGTGGCAAGCGGCCCCTGGCAGGATGCAACTCCGCCAGCCTGCAAGGGAAAAGCCACCATTCCCCACATTTTTCTCCTTTAAAGGAAAATCCATTTTTTAAAGTCCGTTGCTCCATTTTTAATGCATCTTCACAACCCTTTCATATAATCTTGCAACCACTTTTGGGTCATGACCCACCAGTTGAGACAGGCCGGGCTAGACGGCTGGCAGGTCCCTCCCAGCCCCAGTGTTGGATTTAGGCTTAAACTACCTAATTTAAGCTACAGTTTAGAGCAGGGGTTGTCAACCAGGGGTATGCGTATCCCAGGGGTACTTGAGAAGGCCTTAAGGGGTACATGCGGGCAGACGGGGACAGAGCACCACCACGCACCATCCCACACTGCCGCACAGGCAGCACCTGCCCAGCCGGATGCAAGGGGCACGGGAAGCTCGCCCACGGTGGCTCAGCATTCAGCTGTGCCTGCCCCGCCCCAGCTCTGCACCCAGCTGCTGGGGATACACCGATCCAAAAAGGTACAAAATCCCTGGTTTAGGGCCTCATAATAGAAGGGGCCTCTAAATAAGAAAAAAAATGGACATTCATTCTAATGTGACAAAAATATACATATATATGACTCCACAGTTATTGCTCATATTGAGTCCATACATTTGTGCAGAAATAAGAATAATTCATCTTAAAATGTCATGAAAATCCGGTTTGGGGGATTCTTTTTATGGTATGGGGCCTCTCAAACTGGACATAGCTTAGGGCCTCAACATGTCATCATCCGGCACTGCCCAGCCCTCCTGGCCCATGACTCCTGCCCGACAGGCGGCTCCCAGGCTCTAGGCGCCCGCTGCCAGGTACCCTCAGCGCACAGCCGCTTTGTGAGCGCTTAAAAAGGCCCAAGAGCTGTGCTGACCCCAACCCCCCCGCTGCCGCCTTAGAAATGGAGCAAGTCCGCAGGGCAGTGGCCCAAATGCAGCCCCCGCGCAAGCCGGCCGGTCTGGGGTGCTCATCGCCTGCTGCGGGTCACTCCAGCCCGGCGGGGCGGCGGAGGAAGCCGGGTCCCAGCGCAGCCCCCGGCCCAGCTCCACTCCTGCGGGGTTTTGCACTTACCGAAGCGAGGGGCCCGGACCGGGCGGCGGCAGCAGGCAGCATCCAGCCTCGCGGGGTGCTCAGGAGGTGCTTCCCCCCCCACCACCCCACGCTGGCAAAGGGAGCCCGGAGCCGGCTCTTCACCAGCCCCGCATCCCTCCCGGGGCGCCCTGCCCCTCTGCACGGGCTGGGGATCTGCGGCGGCCACCGGCAGTGGGAGCCACGCGCGGGCCCCACAGGGCACTTGCCGCCCCGGGCAACCCTGCCGCTCCCTCCCCACGGCTCAGTGCCCCGCAGGACGCGCCCAGCCGCATTATCAGCTCCGGCTGCTGGGCGCCCGGGCAGCGGATTGGTCCGTCGCAGGGCGGTTGAGCTCTCTGATTGGCTGCCACGCTCTGCCGTGAGTCCCCGCCTTCCCCGGTGTAAGCCGGCCCGCAGCAGTGTGTCTGATTTCCCCCACCGCGGGAGGGTCACCTCTGCCAGCATCGGTGGGAAAGCCACTGTTTATCCCCCCGACCTGAAAACACTGGGATTACAGGCTGTACTGTAAACACGCCAGGCGATGGCTATGCTGACGCTGAGGTCAAAAGGAAAAGAAAAAAAGAGAGTTGCAAAGATGGAGCCAGACTGTTCTCAGCCGTGGCAGATGACAGGACAAGGAGCAGTGGTCTCAAGTTGCAGCAAGGGGAATTTAGGTTGGATATTAGAAGGATTTTCTAGCTAGGAGGGTAGTAAAACATTGAAGCAGGTCCCCCAGAGAGGTGGTGGAAGCTCCATCCTTGCAAGTTTTTAAAATCCGGCTAGACAAAGCCTTGGCCGGGATGATCTAGTCGGGGTGGTCCTGCTTTGATCAGGGGGTTGCACTAGATGACTTCCTGAGGTCCCTTCCAACCCTCATTTTCTATAATTAATGGGATTGGAGAGTTTTGTTATCTGCCCATTTACAGCTAGATAAACCTTTGGCTGGGGTGATCGAGTTGGGGATGGCCCTGCTTTGAGCAGGGGTTGCACTAGAACTCCTAAGACCCCTTCCAACCCTTATTTTCTATAAGTCTACGGGAAACCTAGCGAGTATGAGGATAAATACGCCAGAAATAAACGAAAAGACAGCTCCGTGCATTGCATGTGGCCCCGTGTGGATCCTCACTCCACGCAGTCAAAACGGAGTCTCGTTTTCCGTTTGCTGTTGCAGTGTCTGGCTTCTTCAGTGCCCCAGTGTGCGGCTCTAACGAGCAGAAAAGGAAACGGGATCTGGATGCAGGTGGCCACGTTATCTATTACTTTTTCAATGTCTGCCTCCCTGCCTTGTCACAAAATAGCACGTCCATCGAGCGCCGTGCTCCTGAGCTCCTGCCTACCCCTGCTTCGTGTCTGCCGGCACATCCCGGCCCGGGGGACACGTGTATAATGATAACAAGGGGCGATCGCAGTCGGATCCCTGATGTTTCCTTTGTAGCAGGAACATTTGCAAGTGAGTTGCTCCCGAAAGTACAAGTCGAAGCCTGCTCGGGGAAGACAGCCTGCAAAAGTTACGTCTGTCCTGGGCGGTAGCCTATCCTCAAAGCTGACCAAGGGGTTGGAAATCGTAGGGAATCAAACTCTCCAGTCATTCGCTGATCGAAAAAAATGCAGTATATTTCAATTAGATAAGGGGAAAAGATAATTCTCTCCCTGTAACATAAAATCATAGAAGATGAGGGTTGGGAGGGACCTCAGGAGGTCATCTAGTCCACTTCCTTGCTCAAAGCAGGATTTGTGTAGATGTCCGTAGATACGATTGTGTGAATAGTTTATAACAAGTCTTTTGGAAGTGCATAGACTATAGTCTATCTATCTATCTATCTATCTATCTATAGACTGGAGTCTATTTATATTTATGGTTATAGTTATTTTATTTATATATGAATGTGTATTCTATACGCTTATATAATACGTATATAACGATATATAACTATATTTTATCTATAACTATATATAAATGTATATGCACATATGCATATATGTATATATATACACTATGTATGTATAGTCACCCTCTATACATACATTTATATGTATATTTACCCTCTATACATACATATATCTATGTATAGTTACCCTCTATACATATATTCATACATGTATGTATGTATAAGTTACCTGCAGCAAGCAGGTCAGTGTCTTTGGCTTGGAGAGCTTAGTGAAGGGTGTCAGCGGGGTTTGTACCGTAGATCTTCTCCTTTGTCCCCGAGCTTTCCGGCTGGCACTATTAAACATGCCCGGACCAAGACATGCCCTGTGTCTAAATCATTCACACCCCATCCAGTCTGCGCTGGGCTGGCCTCACCTGTTTTAATAGACCAGGAAAGCATCAAGCCTGACGCCTGCATCTCCATACGCCTGTCTGGGCAGGATGGACACACTGGGAGAGCACTTAGAAATAACCCGGTGGTTTCATTTCGGGCGTGTGGCAACATGTGGGCAATGTGTACAGGAGT